AAGAAAAATATGAAAGAATTTCAATCAAAGACTAAAAATATAAATAAATTTCTTATGTAGACAATTTCTATTAAAACTCATCCTTTTATAGCGAAATAAATTGGAGTAATTTTTTGTAACAAAAAAAAAAGACATAAAAAATAATATAAAAGAAAAGAAATTTAGAAAAAAAATCTACGAAAAATCTAAAAACCAAAAATAAGAGATGACAACAAACTTCTTCTTTTGTTTCATCTTTGTTGAGTATAAAAATTTGTAAGATCTCATCGATTTCAAATAATTTTCAACTCAAATACACAATGTAAATTATAAGAATATTTTAGAATATTTTCTTTAAATTTACATTGTGTGACGTTTTTAAAAAATCACTATTACTAACAAACTGATATTATATTCGAATTTGAATTTAAATGCAATTTGAGTTGTTCGCATTGAGGTTAAGCCATGTATGGTGTCAAGAAAAAACTACTTTATAAATTTAAAATAATATATGCAATGTTATATAATAACAATCAACTAATTTAAAATTTAGTGATTCAAAGAACAAAAAATCTGTATACATAGCGTATTCCAAATTTAATATTTGTGGCTACAGATATCGATAAACTCAAAACGGAGTCATACTGAAATAAAGTTTCACCGGCTAAAGAATCATTTAAATTTTTAGATAGCCGATTAAAATGAATTTTAAATTAAGGATAATATCTTCACTTGCATCATTGTAAAGATAATCATTATTGAAATATATGTTAAGTTTTAGAAATTAAAATTTTAAAATAGAAATATTTTTGAAGGATCACAGCATACCAAATAAGAATTCAAGTCATAGTAAAAGAGTCACGTCATAACCAAAGAATCGTTCATATTGTGTCAACCTTTGTGCTTTGCCATAAATACGAGTTATTATTTCGCTTTGTGGCTATTTTTAGGTTCCAATGACACCATATGAATGGTGCAAAAATAAAATTAACACTACGAGATTTGAGAAAATGTGTTAGTCTTTTTTCATTTAGTGTTTCTTAATTAATATCTAACGATTATCTATAATTATCTAGAAGGTTTAAATTTTAAGGTTATTCACATAAAATTCAAATAGCTCAGATATTTTACATGATTAATGTCAAATATCAAAATTGAGTCATACTGGAAGGAAAAAATTCACTAGCTAAATAATTTTTTAAATTTTTAGATAGTCGACTAAAATGAGTTTAGAATTAAGGATAATATATTCACTTACATTATTATAAAAATAATTATTATTGAAAAATAAAATATTAGAAACTGAAATTTTAATATAGAAATATTTTTTGAAAGATATCAACACACCAAATAAGAGTTAAAGTAATAGTGAAAGAGTCAAGTCGTATCGAAAGAGTCCTTCATAGTCTCAACCTTTGGTTATTTTTCCATAAATATGAGTCATTATTTTGCTTCCTGACTATTTTCAGGATCCAATGACACCGGCGAGAATGGTACCAAAAAAATAGAATTATAACTAGGAGATTTGAGAAATTGTTAATCTTTATCACGTAGTGTTTCTTAATTAATATCCAATGATTATTTATATTTATCGAAAAGGTTTAAAATTTTAAAATTATATACATATAATCTAAATAACTTAAATAGTTGACATGGTTATGTCTGTGCATTGGCGCAAATGCTAATACTGGTTAAAAAGGTAAAAGATCCAAATTTGCCTTTGTACTACCTGAAATTGCTCACACTTGGTCCTCGGTGACTTTGTGTTATCGAGTCGCCTCATATTACTTGTCATTAAAGGAATTCCTTCATTGAGTGAGTGGACTCCATGTGTCCAAATTCGTCTACTTTTAATTATGGTTCGAAATTACCCTCAGATTGACATTCTAAGATTTGACGATTAATTTTCTCTTTTATGACCCTCAAATTCATGTAACTATACACGATCTCTTATATAGGAAGAAGTCCTAAAGAGCAGTGCCGGAGCCACTCATTGACAAGGGCAGTCAATTGATACTCATTAGTCGAAAAATTACACTGTATAAATACAATAAATTTTTAATTTTATGTGTATATACTATATGTTGATTCCCTTTGATTTCTTTGTGTGCTTACTTATTTATATTTTGACTCTCCTTAGTTAAAATTCTGGCTCCACCACTGCTAAAAGAGTAGAGGAAATTCGGTTTGCTGCTACCTACTATGTGTTTTCCCTAAAAATTGAGTAACAATTAAACTTATAATGTGGTTTTAAGGATATGTGATTTCACCTAATACCAATTGATAAACGTAAAGATAAATGATGTAAATTGACAATAATACAAAGCAAACCAGTGTTTGGTCAATGCCCTTGAGCTAATGAACCCTCGAGCTTGGCAAAGTAAGAACAATTAAAGAGCAGTAAGTTGATGAGCAAAGACAAAAATAATATTGCTTTGATATTCGTGAATATGAGGTCTTTACAAATGATGGGGACTCCCCTTTATATACTAAAGGAATCCTAATTATGGTACAACTCTAATTACGGAAGTAAATCCCATGATTGGTACAAATAACCACCCTTCATTCGATCTGTTTTGGAATTTCAGCCGTGATCTTCGATCGGTTACGGATATCTCACCTTTTCGTTATTGCACTTCACTCGAAGTCGGTCATACTTAATCTCGATTTCTAGTGGCCTCGGTCTCAACAGATACTTCGATCTTTAGACTCAATGCCTAGTCTTCGAGCTCGGGTCTGATTCATTACAAGGCTACCCCCGATGCAACTCCCTTGTCTCGATCAAATAGTAAAATTGGGGAGGCCCGATTTTGACCGTATTGTTTACCAAAAAAATGAAATTTTAGTCAAAGCTAGAATTTAGAAGAACTCGGGTTACTGATAATCAAAGAAATAAATAAAAGAAAATAATTCTGAGTAGCAATATAATAATCAAGAAAAACAAATGATACCAATGTATATTTCAATATCATTTCGTGTCCCCTATAACTGATCATATATCTCCTTTTTATAGGTACCTTTGAGAATGTACGTTATGCCCAAATCATAATGAGGCTATTATGAATAATTAAAGACATTGAATGCTATGTTACACAATCATTACATTGAATATAAATATTCCTTAACGAACTCAGCATTTAATACCCATTAAATGTTGTATCTGCACGCTTTTTTATAACCAGATTCATTCCTTCTGATGCCCGGATATAAATGATTTAAATAGGTACGGGCGCCATGCTACTTATCTGATGTCCCGTGCCTCTTCCTCCTTCTTTGCTCGTGTCTGTTTTACAATTCTTGAATCATGTCTAATTGAGATTTATTGACCATTTGACCAATCCATGTATCCTAACACGTCACCATATATATAAAATACAATTTTTCCCAATACAGATAGTCCCCCCACTTTCCATTTATTCATCAGTTTGAATATTTGGGAAGTGGATTCATTTAGAAGAGAATTTTTGTCACCATTAATGCTCTGACAGAATCGACGCTTCAACTGTCACTTCCATTTACTGCATTAGACACGTGTCATCCTCTTATTGGTTCTTCAGTTTTGCAGCACTTTCTTAGGCTTTCTTTTCGGCTTCCCTATTCACGAAGTGTCAGTTATCATTATTATAGCTCTTCCATCATTGTACTTTTTCCTTTTGCCGGTTACCTATAGTATAAATATAACTTCTTTACTTGTCTTTTACCACATAAAGCGTGTCAAACACTTTAATTCTTCAGAAACCTCTTATTCTCTTCTGCTCTACTTCAATCTTCTTTGTCATGGCTTCACCAAACCCTAACCCTTGGAGAACCCCCATTTTAGATAACTTCCCCAATGCTCCTATTAGGCATAGAAGAGGGGGGTAGACTCCGTAGCTTGGGGTCTGCTCGTGGTGGTAGCACATCCACTCCTTCTTCTAGCTCGGGTCCCTCTTCTAGGACTAGAGGTTCCCTTTCTCAGAGATCTTCTTCTAGGAATAAAGAATCCTCTGAGCCCCTTCGTGAGCCTCTAGTTGAAGAAATAGTCCCAACAGAAATATCTTTTCACCATGATAGAGAATCTCTCAGAACCCAAGTTGCCTCTTTAGATCGTGCTGACGCTTTCCCCACTCAAATCACAGATATTTTAACTCTCATAATTCATAAGGATTGTTACTGGAGTGACGATTTTCCAATTATCATTCCTAATCCAAATTAAAGGATTACTTCTTACTTAATCGGATTCTCTTTTGTTTACACATACCCTTTCACTCTAGGGTTTAAACCGGCCATTGACCCGGTCATTCTAGACTTTTGCCATTTTTTCAACGTGTGTTTGGGTCAAATTGGTCCGATTGTTTGGAGGGCTGTCGCCTGCTTGAGGCACCTCACTAACCTGGCGGATGTTGAATTTACTTTTCCCCACCTAATTCATCTCTATTCCCCTAGGCTTTTTCGCAACGGCGTGTTTACCCTAGCAGCCAGGAGCAAGAGGGTTTTAGTGAGCCCCGAGGACGATAAAGACCGTGGCTGGTATGCTCGGTTTGTTGCTGCCCCCACTGCTGGTTTGGTGGGTGAAAATAACGTTCCCTTCCCTGAGAAGTGGAACTTTGCACGTAAGTGTTAAATCTTCCTCGTGCCTTTTCCTTTCAAGCTTTATCAACTTTTCTAATGTCGCTTCTTTTTCTTTTCTCAGCAACCATGGGTGTTGTGGAGACTGTGCCCAACTTCCGTGGTTGGGTAGGAAAATTGTTGAAGACCGCTCCAATGGAGGGTAGGTCGTGGAAAAACCTTTCCAACCGTTACGGTTGGAAAGTAAAAACTCATGGTAAGAGTTTCTATTTTACCTTGTCTGTATATAAATATTTTCTTTGTTCTAACTTTTATCCTTCTTTATATCAGGATTTGCTATTCGAGGAGTCACCGCAGAGGCAATCACAGCTTCTCGTGACTCTTTGAGTACTCGTACCTCTTCAGCCCAAGATATATTCTTGGGTTCTTCAAAAAGAAAAGCTACTGAGGAAGAAGATGAGGGTTCCCTGGTGATGAGACCACAAGCCCGGAGACGTATTGTCTCTGATGACGAGGCTGAAGTCTCCCCTCATCTGTCTCTTTCCGAGCCTGTTGTTACTCCAGTTATCATTCCTGATAATGACATCTCTCCTCACGACACTCGTGAGTCTATCAATCAATTTTTTGTTAGCGGTTTTGGTGGTGGAAACTTAGGACCTGTTCTAGACGAGCTTCCCTTATCTTCCTTTTCATCTCCTGTACCTGTGATTGCTTCTTTACCTTCATCAACTGTTGCTTCTGTTCCTTCTTCCACCGTTCCTCCTTTGGCGATTCCTCCACCTATTGTTCACCATACGAAGGTGGGCTCTTAAAGTAGGAGTACTGCTATGAGGAGCGTAACCATTGAGGTTCCTGCTAACAACAGCCTCTTGAGAAAGTCCGGTCAAGCTGATATTTGGCTCGAGCCTTTGATTAGCCCCATCGAGAAAGCAAAGCTTGAGAGCCATAGCAACCTGACTCTCATGAATGACATAGTGCATGCTACTTTAAAGGTATTTTTCTTTCCTACTTTTCTCCATTCTGTAAAAATTTTTGACTTTTGGGATTCTTACTTCTCTTTTTTTAAGTAGGCCAATCTTATTGGCACTGAGCTGATGAGCAGAATCTCCCTCTTGGAGAAGGTAGCGCGTGATTCCCAGTTGGAAGAAAACAAATGGAAGGAACAGTTTGACAGCGCTCAAATCGAGATGGAGGATTTACAAAAGAGAAGAAGTACCTTAGAACAGCAAGTACAAGCATTAACTTCGGAGCTGGCGATCATCAAGGCTTCATCGAGTCAGGCAGAGAAGGAAAGAGAGCGCCTTGAGTCTTCATTTTCCGAACAGTTATCCAAGGCCAGTGAAGAGATCAGGGCGTTGAAGGATCTTTTGAATCAAAAAGAAATTTATGCCGGGGAACTGGTTCAGAATTTAACTAAGACACAGGAGGATCTTCGAGCCTCTGTTGATAAGGTTCATGCTTTGGAGAGTTCTCATACCACCCTTCAATCTTCTTATAGTTCTGTCTTGGCTGAGAATGAGGTCGCTGCTTGGGAGAGGGATTATGAAATCCTTGAAGAGAAAACTGATGTTGAGATAAGTTGGGCATTCTTAAATTCACGTCGTGACACCTTACTGGAAATGGGACAAGAAAGCTTCAACCTGGAATCAGAATTAGCCAAGGTGAATGAAACCATTGAACGAGCTCAACAAACACAAGATTTTTCATCTCCCGAGGTTGAAGCTCCCGTGATTGAAACTCCCGTGGCTGAAACTCCGTTGTTGAAGTTCCTGTGAACAATCGCCATGGGTGTCTCACCTTCTTTAAGCCCAATTGTGCCTCTTGTTGCAAGCCAAGCTGAGACCTCGTCTATTGGTGCTCCTATTGCTGTGAATGAAGATCAACTCGCAACCGTTGATGATCCTGCCCAAGTTGAGCCCGTTGATGATCCTTCTTCAGTTCTCTCTTCTTAGTGAAAAAATTTACATTACTTTAAATTCCCTTTTTGCAGGTACCTTTTTGGAAAACTATGTTTAAGGCTCTTGGATTCTTTTGAAAGTTTATTTTAGACATATGTAATCAAACCCTTGGTTATCATTTGAGGTTTGATTTTGGAACGAAAGTCCCCAAGTCTTTCATGGGGCAATTTGTATAAACAATTTCATAGTTTTGTGACTAAGTTCTTACTTAGTCTTAAGTACTCAAGAAGTTTTTTATGTTATTGTTAACTTCTGTTTGCTTTAATTCTTGCCATTCTTAAGGACTTATAGAATAATTTTGCATTTTTATTATTTGAAAATGCATATGTTAATCTCATGATTTAAACATGAGTTTTATAAAAGAGGGCCCTTTTATATTTCGACACTTAATGAAGAAGACGTCTCAACTTCATAATAGTGTTAGCATACGATAAAAGAAATAGGAACACACATGTTTCTTTGGAATAACATTGACAAGTTTTTATTTTGAGACTTGACAAGTTTTGAATAACATCTTACATGTATTTGAATTACATCTATAACTTTCTCGTAACTGTTTTTCCTTGTAACAGATTTTTAAGAAAAAATAATAAACACGAGGTTTTTCTTTATAACCCATTTTAGAACAATAAATGCAAGATTTTTCTTTACAACCTGCTTCAGTACATAGCTTTTACCCTAACTACAGTAAGGTTTTCTTTAGCCTTGGCTCATGGGTTCATGTGACTTTTATTACTCTGCACTTGACTTTTTCAGGCTTGATTTTTCTTCAATCTTCTCTGCCTTCTTTATATATACTTGTGTATATTATATAGTCCCCCAAGTGTTTGAGTGTTGAAGTATGAAGCCTCGAGCACTTGATAGTTTCTCTCATTTGGTCCTTTTCCTGAAAAGGAAATACATACGGGACTCAGAGGTACGATTATAGATGAAGACTACTTAACCCGTTTAAATTTCTATCAGAATAGTTGTAACCCTAGGCCAGGAATTTTAGGTTATTCCGTGTGCCTTACAGGCCGTGACTCATCATTTAGTACGGGCTAGCTTTTTGCCTATCATCTAAAATCGTTAGTAAAATTTTAACAATTCAAAAAATTAAACGTAAAATGGTGATACCTGACCGCGGGTATTCTTAGAAGTAATATCTCTTCAAATGAACAGCATTCTAATGTGAAGGCAATACTTTGCCATCCATTGTCTCCAATTCATATGCTCCCTTGCCTGCAATATCACGAACTCTATAGGGTCCTTCCCAAGTTGGACTCAACTTACCCGTGTTGGCTGCCTTTGTGGATTGAAAAACCTTTTTAAGCACGAAATCCCCAATTTTGAAGAACCTGAGGCGTGCTTTCCTGTTGTAATATCGTTCTATTACTTGTTTTTGTGCTGCCATTCTTATTAAATGCAGCTTCTCTCCTGCCTTCCAGTAGATCCAAATTGACCCGCATCTCTTCGTCATTAGATTCTTGTGTTGCTTGCATGAATCGTGTGCTTGGTTCTCCTATCTCAACTGGAATCAAAGCTTCAGCTCCATAAACCAATGAAAAGGGTGTTTCTCCTGTGCTCGTTTTTGCTGTTGTGCGATATGCCCATAAAAAACCAGGTAGCACCTCTGGCCAATTTCCTTTTGATTCTTCCAAACGTTTCTTTAAATTATTAAGAATAACTTTGTTTGTTGATTCTGCTTGCCCATTACCTACGGGATGATAAGGTATGGACGTAATCCTTTTAATTTGCCAACTTTGAAAAACTTCTGTGATTTGAACTCTAATAAATTGAGGACCATTGTCACATACGATCTCCTTTGGTTTGCCAAATTGGCATATGATGTTTCGCCAAATAAAATCTTTGACTTCCTTTTCTCGTACCTGTTTGAAGGCTCCTGCCTCTACCCATTTAGTAAAATAATCAGTAAGTACGAGCAGAAATTTTACCTGTCCTTTTGCTTGTGGTAATGGACCCACGATATCCATTCCCCATATCATGAATGGCCATGGTGCGATGACCGGATGTAATAATTCCGCGGGTCTATGCATGTTGTTACCGTACCTTTGACATTTATCACATTTGGCCACGAAACTTTCCGCTTCTTCTTCCATTTTTGGCCAATAGTAACCTGCCCTGATTAAGGTTCTTACCAATGATCTTCCTCCAGCGTGATTTCCACAATGCCTCTCATGTATTTCCCTCATTACGTACTCTGTTTGAGAAGGACCGAGGCATCTAGCTAAAGGGCCACCGAACATTTTACGATATAGGTTGCCTTGATTTAAACAGTAGCGAGCAGCCTTTTTGCGAAGTGCATGGGCTTTTTTCTTGTCATCAGGGACGGTTCCATACTGCAAAAAAGCTACAATCTCGTTCCTCCAATCCCAAGTTAAATTATTAAAATTTACCTCATTCTTGTTAGGGTCGAGAACTGAATGAAATAAGTGAATAACTGAGGTATTTGCATTGCTTGCCACGTCAGCCGCAGATGCGAGATTAGCTAAAGCTTCTGCTTCAAAATTTTCATCCCTTGGTAACCAATTTGTTTAACCAAAAAATGGAATTTTAGTCAAAGCTAGAATTTAGAAGAACTCGGGTTACTGATAATCAAAGAAATAAATAAAAGGAAATAATTCTGAGTAGCAATATAATAATCAAGAAAAACAAATGATACCAATGTATATTTCAATACCTTTTCGTGTCCCCTACAACTGATCATATATCTCGTTTTTATAGGTACCTTTGAGAATGTACGTTATGCCCAAATCATAATGAGGCTATTATGAATAATTAAAGACATTGAATGCTACGTTACACAATCATTACATTGAATATAAATATTCCTTAACGAACTCAGCATTTAATACCCATTAAATGCTGTATCTGCACGTTTTTTTATAACCAGATTCATTCCTTCTGATGCCCGGATATAAATGATTTAAATAGGTACGGGCGCCGTGCTACTTATCTGATGTCCCGTGCCTCTTCCTCCTTCTTTGCTCGTGTTTGTTTTACAATTCTTGAATCGTGTCTAATTGAGATTTATTGACCATTTAACCAATCCACGTGTCCTGACACGTCACCATGTATATAGAATACAATTTTCCCCAATACACGTATACAGATAGTCCCCTCGTTTCTTGGAGTGTAAAGAGAAGAAACGAACTGAACCTTCGATTTAGTACCTCGACAAATTATGACGTCACCCTCGTGACGTAAGCGACGGAGGCGACCGAAGCGCCGCGTCCGCACAATTCTCAAGATCATTAATTAGTGCCAGTTGATGGTCGGCCACTAATGTTTTCAAACCGTCATAGCAGATATTATAAATAGACCATCTTCATAATTTTCTCAAACTTTATTTTCAAAATTTCCCCTAATCTTCAAAAGCTTTTCTACTCCCTTCAAGCTTATCAATTCTGCAGGTTCTTCAAATCCCATTTGCCAATCTTTTCTTAAAACAAAAAATTTTATCTTCTTCTTTCTTTGAACTCATATAACAATGGCGAAAACATCAAAAATCATTCCTCAAAAGGAAAAAGCCTCCTCATCGCGACCGGCCGGTGATAAAACGCCGGTGGAGCCATGCACCGAAGAGTGTGTTCCCGGGTCATGCGACCTTACTTCCGATTTTAAAATTGAAAAACCCTCGTCGCTCCTTGGCCGTTTTGAACCAATGTCGAGATACATATGCTCGATAACCAAGAGCGATCTTGAGCAAGTGAAAAAAGATTGCCACTGGGAAGACAAAGAGGTGGTGATTCCTACCCCGAGGAGGATATTACCACTCATGTGAAAGGGGTTTTAAGTGTTTACACTTACCTTTTCACGCTGGGTCCCGTCGATCCCGTTATTATCGACTTCTGCCGCCAATACCACACAACCCTAGGCCAAATCCAACCCCCTTTTCGCGCATCATTATTTTGCTCCGATTCTTCGTGAGCAAGGTTGAAGGGATGTTTTTCACCCTCGATAATCTTATTAGACTGTACAGCACCTGTCTCTAACGAGGCGGATTAGTAAGGCTTCAGCGCCGTGCTACAAAGGTGTTGTTCTCGAGCATAGACGAGGATAAAGATCGAGAATGGATGAGCCGGTTTGTCCGAGTGAAGACTTCTGACATAATCCTGGCCGAGAAGATGTCGTTCCCTGAAGAGTGGAACATGAAGCATAAGCACAAACTCACCTATAGCTTCCGTTTACTATTTTGTTTCTTTTGTCTTTTCGTATTGACATCCTTCCTTATGATGCAGCGGTTTCTTGGGTGCTTAGTGCAATCCCGAACCTTGAAGACTGGGTTTAGAAACTGGTCTCGACCTTTTCGTACGCTGAGCTTTCGCGGCACGATTTGGCCGAGGGCCGATGGAAGGCCAAAAATCACGGTAAGCTTCTCTATCCGTGTTTGATGCCTTCCTGTGAAATGTTTTCTTTTTATTTTACTTGATTTCCTCCCATACAAGTCTCGGAGACAAAGCTGTCATGAGGCAGCCCCCACCAGGGAAAGAGGAGGCCCCAAAACCGGCTAAGGATAAGAAGAGGAGAAGGGCCTCGCCTTCCGATACTCTAAAGCCTAAGTAGAGCAAGGCTCGTAGGTCGAAGTATGACAATGCCGCTCTGCATGCCGACGTAACCCAAAAGCTACGAGATGAAGAAAAGCTTCAAAAGCAGCTAAGCGGGTGATGGTCGAGGAGGCTCATATTCGGACCGAGGAGATCTTAAAAGATAGTCCGAGCAAAGTCCCCAAGTTATTTGGGGCTGAAGATGTCTCCCGCCGTGATGAACAACCGTCGAGTGTGCCTGTCTATCGTGACGAACAATCGGCGGGTGTG